CAACATATAGTTGATATAACCGTATAGTCTATATAACCCTCGTTTGAGATATACCTATTTAAATTTTATTGGTGATATTAAAATAGTGGTTACAGTAAATAAATTCCCATAAAAGATTAAAGAAAAAAAACTAAAGGTAATTCATGTGTCTGTTAAACACACATGTCATGATTTTATGTTTTTTAATCCTTTAGATTAGTCAATAAGTTAACAATGATAGTGATCTAGCATTATTTTAAAATGTTTGAGCATGAAGAGGCTATGAATTATTCCATTATTTAATCCTTTTATAACAGCAAGTTTATATGCATCCAATTATTTGAAGTCATTTAAATAGTTTAATTTTGAAGTAATGAAAATGGAGAATAATTATTCATTGTTTTCCTGGTTACACTTTATATGATTGACATTTAAAATCATTATTCAGCCTTTTGTGCAACAAACATCCTTGCCCCAATGCTTTAACTTTTCCGAGTGTGTTTTTGTTTTCATTATTTAAATTGTTTTTGTTGCATTAAAAACTGCAGAAGCAGATCTTAGCAGCATGTGGCCAGAGCAAGCAGGGTGTCACGATGCATGCCGTTTGAAAAACGAACTTGAAGCTACGTTAGAAATGATTTTATCCCTCTGCGTGTTTCCTCTTGAGGTAATTGGGGCATTGAAGTTACATAACTTAAAAGTTTGTCCTTAAATGGTAAAGGCAAGACTAAAATTTGGGCCAAGTTCTAGAGCCTCATTTCTTCTCTACCATTCTGTCTTAATGAGATAACTCATTACAATACAAACACGCCATTTAGTCAGTGGAGAGATCATTTTAACCCTACGAGATGCATGTTTATACGTCAGAACTCTAGTAACTCATATCTAAGAAAACAGCAATACCTCAGTGAGGCATATTCAGTTTATTTTCTACTCTATGTTCCCTACATAAGATAGTATTTTGTCTACTTTACTGGACTCTAGCCAGTGTTTTCTTCTCTACCTTAACAGCTTTAGAATAACACCATGCACCGCTTTTTACATGTATCGGAGACTCTGCTGGGTATCACAGGTGCATTCTTTCACTTACTCTTCACCTCATTAGGAAGAAGGTGAAGCTCAGAGAGTTTAGGTGATTTTCCCAAGATCACACAGCAATTGAGTAGCAGAGCCAGGATTCTAATCCAGTTCTTTCTAACTCCAACATGATAAACTGCCCTTATCTTGAAAGAAGCAGTTGAACCAGTAAGGAATTTACAGGCTTTTTCTTTCTTTTAAAAAAGTTTTATTTTTCATTTTATTTCTTTGTATTTTTTTCTTAAACTGAAAAGCGTCAAGGAATGCTGGTCTAGATTTTCATAGTGTGATAGTGAGGAAGTCACCTGGGACAGAACTAGAACTTCTATAATAGCTCCAAAACTGCTGACACAAATATGTTCAGTAGGATGTTAGCCTCTATATGTGTACATACTGGTTCATTTGCTTTTTGAACTTTGTCATTTGTCTTAGTTATTAAGCTCATTTGCAGTTCTTTCCTGTTTGCCATCTTTGTTAACATTCTGTTGAGTTCACGGCTCCTGGAGCACTTGGTGCTTTCACCCTGGAGTCTACTCCATTTCTACGGCCGCGTTTACACAGAGGCCAGAGCTGTTCCTCCCAGGACTCAATGCAGTTCGTATGACACTTAAGATCACTTAGAACGTGAAGTTTGAATAGCATGATTGCAATGTCCCTGACCAATATTTAGAAGCTTCTTATTGTGATTTCTTTAATAGTGGAACACCCAAAGTCACATTTTTTTTTTTTTGAGAAAATAAAGCACCGTTATCACCATAAAACTGGCTACATGATACTAGGAAACCATCTGGAGTATCCTGTGAGAAATACATTGTTAGTTTTAATGAGCATATATCAATTCAGTGTGAGCTGTTGAAGTTGGTTAGTGTTATGGGTATATCATAAACTGAAAAAGTTTGAGCAGTTTAATACGTAGAGACAAGAATGGTTTGTGGGACAGAGATGGGGGATGTTTGAGGCCCCCGTACAGTCTGTTGCTCTCTCCTCACTTGTCTTAATGGCCTGGTGCTCGGTCATAAAGGATGTGAAGTTGTTCCCTGCAGCAGAGATGGTCTGACGAAGATGCATTTCACCAGGCACCAGGCATTCACCTAGAGCCTTGATTCTTGTAGCGCCTACAGGTATGAGCATCGGCTGTGGAAACTGGGCTAAAATCGTACCAAATATATTCGTGACAGCAGCTTGGAGAAAAGAGATGCGTGGTTATTTTAATGGGTGATTTTATTATCAAGACTCTTTACTAGGATTAAACCTGGCATGGAGCATTGAATTAAACTTGTTTCAAGTTTTCCTGAAAGGAGTAAAAGGTGTTGTTTTACTGCCTCAGCTTTTCTCTTACATTTATGTGTGTTCTGGACGCTATGGGAGCGAAGAGAGACAGTGACAAAGATGGTCAGATGACAACGGGTTTCGAGACAAACTGTTCCTCTGAGAGGTAGAACTGCCTCTGTGCATCCTCTGTCCCTTTATTCCCGCTCACACCCACGAGCTGGAAAAATACCCGTGACGCATGTCATTCTGTGGCAAAATCCAGTTAGCTTGGCAGAAGTAATTTATTTCAGATCCCTGTGGTTTTTCAAGGATCTTTAAAATAAATATAAGATATTATAGAGATCAGACTTGAACAGTTTGATCAAAGTGTGGCACGAAACAATATAAATACACTTGTATGTAAACTTTAAATATTTCCAGAAAGTGCCTTTTCTAGAAAATACCAGAACAGTTTGGATGTTCTGAACGGGTGCATAATGGTTAATTTGTGGTTACAAACACTGTTTCTCCAAAATAGAATCCACTTAAGAATCAATTTTGAGAAGCGATAGTACTTCATAAATGCCACAGATGGAGAGAAACGGCAACATGCAAAACTAGCTAATGAGAACGGCTCACTTACGTCGAGTTCTTGTTACGGCCTGGGCTCTAATTGCTCTTTACTTATATTATCTCCCTTATTTTCACAACAGCCTATGAAAGTGGTGCAATCATTACCACATTTTCAGGGATGGGAGCCAAGGGTTAGAAATGACAATAGCCAGTGAGCAGTGAGGCAGGCCTCTTGCTCAGGTGACGGGACAGGAGCTCAGAAGCCCATGATGAGAGGGCAGAGGCATCCAGAGAAGGACAGTTCATTCCAAACAGAACAAAACATGGGCCCCAGGAAGCTGTGTGGGGTCTGAGGGAGCTCAGTGCCCCGATGATATGCTGCTTTCATCCATAAAATAATGTTGATTTTAGTATTGGCACCGTCTTACTTAATCTTTCCTGGAAACTAATGAAGCATCATTCTCTGCTGAGAAAAATCACTCAAATGGCAGTTTCAGTCGCCCACATTAATAAACCTTATAAATTGTCATTTTGATGCATTGCATCAGGTTATCAAATTTATCCTCCTAATTCTCTCTTTATGAAGCCACACTCTTGCTAGAATTTGTGTTTAATGGATTTATAATGTCCTTCTACTGTGAAAATTCTACTTTCCATACCCAGTTGGCTGCTCACTGGACTCTGCTTCTCTAAAGCAAAAGCAGATACTCATAATAACGTATTTGATCTCAATGAGATAGTTTCTCTAACTGGCCAATTAATTCTCATCCTGCCTGTTTCCTTCACCATAAGGTAAGTTGGTAGTTAGTTACCTTTTGGGATTTTCAATTGTGACTTTGGCAAAGTAACTTAACTTCTGTTTTCTTGTCCACACAATGATGATAATAATCCTTACCACAGATGACCTCTGGAGTTATTGATAAAGCTCTGAGTGTAGTGCCTATCAGATTGGTACTAAAATTGTAGCTATTGCTATGTATAAATAAAAAATGGATTAAGTATAGACTGTATATGGAATGATTTGGGAGTACATATTAAAGGATTTATAAGTACTCTCATTTTTTATATGCAAAAGCTTGAAGTATAAGGTAAATTGGGTCTGGATGCTTGATGATGATGGTAATGAAGATGGTGGTGGTGGTGATGGTAATAATTGTGGTGAAGGTTTAGAGATCATGATGGTGGTGATGGTGGTGGTGGTATTGGTGATGGAGGTAGTGGTGATGGTGAAGATGGTAGTGATGAAGGTAATGATGGTTATGTTAGTGTTAGTGGTGGTAATGGGGTGTTGGTGAAGGTGGTGATGGTGATAATGGTTAAGATGGTGATGATGATGGTTGCTTTCCCTCTTTCCACACAGAATGTCCCCCCAGACCTCTCCATCTGCACCTTTGTGCTGGAACAGTCCCTCTCTGTCCGGGCCCTACAGGAGATGCTGGCGAACACGATGGAGAAGTCAGAAGGGGCAAGTATTTAATTTATGTATTTATATATGTAGTATTTTTTTTAATATATGTAGTCTTTTAAAGAACCTGGCCACGATATGAATGATTTATTTCACAGATATTGGAGATTTTGTTTTTGCTGAAATAAGTCAAAGCCTTTTACTTGTGACTTCCTTTAAGGTTGACTTTCATCTCGATCTAGCAGATCTATGATGTCTTTAAGAACTTAAAAAAATAGAACTTCAAGATGATGCATGTCTTTTAACCTCATTCTTATGACTTTGGTTTAAAAGAGTATCTTTCTTTGAGCATTTGTGTGTTTTCTTCCATCTTCAGAGCTGTTATTATTATAATTTGTCATTAATCTTATAAAAATTATTCTTTATTGTTGAAAGTATTACATATGTTCCCTTTTTTCCCTCCATTAACCCCCTTGTTGTTATTCTTTATTTCATCTTCAAAACCCTCTAACAATGTACTTTGCTCTAAGCTTCTTTATGGCCAGTAAAATTTCATGGCTCTCATATATTTTAAGCAATGAAATTATGGTGACGCAGCTTTAGTTGACTGTAGTTTGCAGTCATTTTCTTTTGCAAATTGAAATTCTTATTCAGTCTCCTAGCGCAGAAATGTTCTTTTAAAGCTTATTTGGTAATTTAAATTATTTTCTGTGCTGTGGGTTACTGTAACTAATGTCTGGGTTACTTAGTCAATTCTTTAAGGTTTAGAATTAACCAGGAGGCTGAATGGTCAAACTTTTGGGTTTTGTTTTTGTGTGTGCTGTAATTACTGCAGGACATGGTTTAATAAACGACACTATTTCCAGGCATGGAACTGGACATTTTTTTTGGCTATTATTTGTCTATGTGTTGCCATTGTTGTTAATCATTGTTCAGGTCTTAATACGTGAGGAGTTTTAAAAACTGTTCAACAGAAAGTGAGCAATCAATTATGATGTAAGGTATTTTCACTAGCCTACTTTTAAAAATTTTAATGCCATGCAGTTTAGGATTTTAATTGGTTTGTGCATTAATAGTAAATTACTTTAAAATTTTATAGTATACTACTAAGTATGGAAGAGATTTTTATTTTTACGATTACTTTTTTTAGTGATTTTTATTTTATGTTAGACTAAAAGCTTATTTTATGATGTGTATATTTAAATTTGCCAAGTTTATTTTTGGTTACAACAAAGTTTGAAATTATTATATTATATAAAGTTTAAAAATGTTTCCTATTCTTTAATGCAAAGCTTTTGGAGTAGGCTTAAATTGTAGAGGAGTGAAAATATCTCTCAGTTTGACTAGTTTGTTTCTACCTGGAATAACCCCTCCTGATATTTAAACATTATTCATGCATCCCAGCTTTGAAACTGAAGTCTATCTTTACAAAGAAAAAAAATCAGTTTTCTGTTGCATGAGCATCTAGGAAAGTACATTGTCATTTCACTTGTCTTTGTAGATACCAACTTACAACTAAATTGCCATAAATTTAATTTTGATATTGCTAAGCACCTGTTTCTAAATTTGAATTTTTGAAAAGATGTATTATTCCCCCAGAGTCCTGGAGTTGAATTAGGCAAGCTCTAAATTTTCTGTGTATATATGAAGTGTTGGCAATACTGTTTTAAAATTTATGCTTTAAAATATTTATTAGTAAGACTTTCTGGACCGCACTCCCCGAAATATTTTTATTTAGCTGAGTTTTATTTTGAGTTGCAATCCATCTAGAAAGTTTCTGTCAGAGAGAAGGTGGTAATTTATGTGATGGGTGGAACATCATTTTATAAAGCCCAGCATAGCTACCATGAGACAGTAATTAGAAAATATTAGTAAAAATGGAGCGGAACCTGCTACAGGAAGGAATGTACTGCATTGAGCTGACTCTCACGTTTAGACCACTAACGGTTAGGGAGAAACCACTGTCAGATAACTCAAAGGGATGCTATATTTTTGGCAAAGAAAGGTTCTCTCTTAGACGGCAGAGTTTTGATTATACGCAGAAATGATATTCAGAATATTTCACAATTCGTTTGGCACAAGCATCAATTAATGAGAGTGGACCCCAGTCAGCAATGATGCTAGAGGCAAGGCCCTTGAGAGGCTCTGGGATGGTCTCATTTGGAAGACCTGGGGTGGTCTGGGGGAGGGACACTGGGAGCAAGACTGTTTCTCTACTACAACCATCTTTTAAAAATATATTTTTAAATTGATTTTTAGAGAGAGGACGGGAGAAGTAGAGAGAGAGAGAAACATCGATGAGAGAGAAACATTGATCGGCTGCCTCCTGCACACCCCTGCTGGGACGTGAGCCTGCCACCCCGGCATGTACCCTGACCGGGAATCCAACCAGCGACCTCTTGGTGCATGGGTCAGTGCTTAACCACTGAGCAGTACTGGCCGGGCTACAACAACCATCTTAATTATCAAAGTGCAAATGGCTGCATAGCAGGTCTGATTACAGTTGGCCAGCTGCTGGTCCTTGTCACAGCCCTGTCTCTGGACTCCATAGGTATCTGTGTCCTCAGTCCTGAAGCCTCATGAGTCACTAGCCTCTCCTTGGAATTCATACAGGAATCTATAGCAGATCCTTCATCAAGCAAGTTGTCATCGCCAGCGTAGTAAGTCATATTTTACTTCATTTGAATACTTAGAGGACTAGAAAGGTAGGTTCAACTCTTCCAGACCTGATTATCTGGTAGGCTCCCGTAGCCAGCAAGGGGCGGAACGGGCAGAATCCGGTCCATGGGTTCTAACGTCTGTGCTTTTTAAGCTCTTTGCTGTGAGTGTCCAGTAAAGAGAGCAGTGTCACTATTGCCGCAGGGGGAGGAGGAGGACGAGGTCACAGGGAAGTGGCCCAAGAGGTCAAAGGAGAGCAGGAGAGGACAGTCAGAAGCCGCCCGGATTAGCTTCATGGCTGCTGTTACAAGTACCACCAACCTGGAGGCCGAGAACACCGTCAGTTTATTTGTCTCGCAGTCCTTGAGGTCAGAAATCGCAGTCGGCCTCCCTGGGCAGGACTGCGTTCCTTACGGGTCCTCAGGTGACCTGGCCCCTGGCCTTTTGTAGGTGACATGCTTGGCCGGGCCATGCCCATCCTGAGACCAGCAGCACGTGATCTGTAACATACTCATCGGTTCCGGGAATTGGGAGCTGAGTGGCTTTGGGTGCCATTAAATTACACCGTGGAAGTACAGAGTTCTAGAGAGAGGCTATTGACAAAATCAAATAAAAATCAGAGAAGTTGAGTTGATTAAGGACTGAAAAGTGTACTTGGTTTGACAGGAGCCTGGTTTTCCGGTAAACCAATCAATATTAAGTTCAGTTTATCTTATATATGTGATTCGTAGATTCTCTTACATTTTGCATTTGAAAGAGTTTATTCCCTGAAGAGTTTTTAGTATTTATTGGTAGTTCCAAAAGTAGATCTTAATATTTCTATTCCACCCTATTCTTCTGGTGTTTGGCACAAGTCCAGTGGCACCACATCTACAAGACTGACTGTGCCCAGCTCGCGTGGCTCAGTGGTTGAGTGTCAACCTATGACCTAGGAGGTCATGGTTTGATTCCCAGTCAGGGCCTATGCCTAGATTGCAAGCTCAGTTCCTAGTAGGAGGTGTGCAGGAGGCAGCTGATGGATGATTCTTTCTCATCGATGTTTCTACCTCTCACTCTCTCTGCCTCTCTGACATCAATAAAATAATATATTTAAAGACTGTTCAAGCTCTTCGGCAGACAAGCCATGGACCCAGAATTAAAAGAGCTAATGATGTAGCCACCTGGTTGAGTTGATATTGATTTTTTCCATTTGTTTTCTCTTCACGGCCGTGAATTGGGTAGTGTGGAGGGTAGAAAGCTTGACAAACCTTGCATTTATGTAAATAGACTGTGTCCTGTAGGTTATTAAAAGTAGGTCTCGGGTGGCTGGGAGAACGACTCACTGGAGGAGTGAGGTTTACTTAACCACTTGGTGTTATTCATCCAGTTTCAAATATGTCACTGCTCAGCATACCAGTCTCCATTAACATACAGAATTAAACGTTTGGGATGTGAAACTGTGATTACACTTTTCAATACTGTTGGGACAGTGGATGTCTGCCTCTGAAGCGACCAGACCAAAGACTGAAAGGGCTACGATTTAGTGAAGAATAATAATACCACACTCACGGTTTTTACTTGTGCTGCAGCAGTATGCCTGCCTGGGACATGGCAGACTCACATCAGTCAATCAATAAATCAATCAATCAGTCAATCAATCACAATCATTCATTCTTTGATTAATGGTAATGTTAAAAGTAATTCGTGCCGCCTGGCAGTTGTGGCTCAGTGTTTGAGCTTCATCCCATACACCAAAAGGTTGCTGCTTAGATTCTGGTCAGGCACATGCCCAGGTTTTAGGCTCGATCCCTAGTAGGGGGCGTGCAGGAGGCAGCCGATCATCTCTCATCATTGATGATTCCATCTCTCTCTTCCTCTCCTTTCCTGTATGAAATCAATAAAAACATGTTAAAAAAATCTAAAAAACCTCCAAAACACAAAAACCAATCTTAACAGAAAAAAAGAGAAAAAAGTAATTAGTGCCTGCCATGCATACAATATAAAAATATACTTAAATTCCAGTTTAAATCCCAGAACCATTTCAGTGTTTTGCTCTCGTAACAGTAACATAGGAGAGTATAAATTGAAAATACCTTCCTCATAACCCTCCTTTCCCTGACGATTACCACAGCTAAAAGAGTATTAGTGTTCATGAGCCTTATACACAAGCACAGTTTTACACCATGGCATCATGTTATAGACTGTTGTGCCAACTTTCACAACATACTCATTTTTGGCTTAAAAAAAATAAGGACACGAAGTCCGGAGGATAAGAGTCCTGGTGTGCTGGTTGAGACCCTGCTCCGACTTTCTTTCGTTCTCCACTCTGTTCTTCTTGCTGTAGGCTTGGTTCTTAGTCTTGCTTCCCTCACGGTTACAACGTGGCTGCTGCAATTCCAGGGATGATATCCCAATTGAAAATG